ATGCCTTGTAATATACAAATTTATATAAAAATAGTATTGTAAGTTTTTTTAGCTACAAGTTTAAATAACTAATTGCATATTTTCGCTTTATTTATTTATTTTTTTTTATTTGCATTATTTTTAACTTATTTAATTTATTCGATTTTAATTTATTTATTTTATTTTTATTATTTATTTTTTATTTATATTGTGCCAACACCATTTTTAGTTTTATTATTTATCGTTTAATTGCGATTATTTAACAGCAAATATTTTCAAATCGAACTTTATTTTATCTTATTGAACTCAAATAAGTTTCGGGATTGTTATTTTTGTTTTTTTTATCTTGCGCTCAAATAATATGCGATATTGCTCAATTTTGAATGATATTAAATTGGATTTATTTTTTATAGATTGTGTCGCCTGAAGTGTAGTTTCCATTTGCGCACCATTTGAACTTGACAAACCATACCTTGTTGAGTACTTTTCTTCAATTTTTTGATATACTTTTTCAAATTTACGCACTTCTAATTCTCAATTGCCCTAAATTATTTGCTTGCAAAATATAATTTTTTTTTTTTCTTTTTTTTTTGTTTTGTTTTGTTTTTTTTTTTTGTTGATCCTTAACTATTTCGTTATAAAACACCGCATCATTGCTAGAAATGCAGATTTTAGATTTTAGTAATAGTGTAACTTTATAAAAAAATAATCCGAACTATATATTGAAAAACTTACTTGGTTAGAATATCCTATTTTCGACTAATTAAAATAACTTCCTTTAACCGTATTTTAAATTTTGTGAATTAAAATATTGTGAAAAAATCTACATTTCAAAAATAAATATTTAATTATAAATGATATTTAAAGTACCTAAGAGCAATTTTATTGATTTGTAACAACAATTAAGGGACAATGTTTTCAGGGATCCTTCAATGTGATTTATATTTTTTTACAGCAAATTCGGCGGCAGCAAGTGATAATCCTTTTCTATAAGCATCCATATATCGCCATGCTCTTCTTGCAAACTTCCAGATTGTTATAACATCTACAGAATAAAGAGCTTCTGGTACAGTATTTCGTAACCCTTGAAACGTGTAATTACAATGACTTCTTGCATATTTTTTATTGTACCCCAAAAATACTCGATATAGTTTAATTCTGGATGAAATTTAGGGTAAAAAATGATTTTATGACCTCGACTACACACAATATCCTCAAGAACATTTTTTTGCTCCATAAAATCTGGCTGTCTTGCTAACTTCCTCATATTACAACAAATCTTTTTTTCATTTTCTGAGCACTTAATACATTTACTCCTTAATTGTTGATCCCAAATATTTCTTTCTTTCATTACCCGTTTTATTCTCTTCGGTTGTCCTCTTTTATTTACATTTTTATAATCAGGTGGAAAAACCATCTCTTGAGATGTACCATCAGGTAATCGACCAGGACACATTCGCGGTTGTTTGCCACCATATTTTACATTCATTCTGCTTGCTACTAATGCGTCTTTAGCAAAAGCACTATAATTCGAACTGTTATCGAATCCAAATACAAAAATTGTGCCCGAGAGTGCAATTTCCAAAACATCAATTGTTCGTTTAAGTTGTTCAGCAAGCAACTGAACATTCCAATAACCATCGTGGTTTACACCAACCTCAAGAGTCTCAGTAACGTATCTATTTGGAATTTCTGGATGGGCTAAATGTTGCTCTACAGTTAAATAAACACGCCCCAAAGGTTCACATAAAAATTCACTAACATGAATACATCTGCCTCGTCCCTTTGGACGTAATTTTTGTTCGCCTATTTTAAAAAAAAATATATAAATAAATAAATAAATAAAAATAATTTTACCAAACAAATTAACCTGAAAAACACAAACCTTCAGGCCCCCATCCAGTTTTTTTATCATCATTAGCGGCTAATGTTGTCTCATCATGTGTTACTACACAATGCGGCTTTTGATTAAGAGGAATATTTTTTTTAACTAATTTTGTTAAATCATTTTCATAATATTCAATAATAAGAGGTTCTAACTCAGCCATCATGGGTAAAAAAACCTCTTGTTGATACCGTACCACATCCTCCCGTTTATGCCCATCTACATATACATCCTTTTTCCATTCCTTATAACTCCACCCCAACTTTTTAAGCCATTCTAATGCGGTCCTTTCACTTATAGTCGTTTTTTTTCAATGCCTAAAGATGAAAAGACTTCATTTTTTACAAATTCTTTTAGAACCTTGGGGTTCACACTAAACTTATTGCATCGTAAATATGACATTATCTATTTAAAATAGAATCTTTGGTAAGCAAAGAATTGGGAATTGCATTTAAAGGTAAACCAATTTTTTTTTTTATCTTCATCGATATTCTTTCGTCGTCAATAAGGCTTGCTATTTTCACGTGCTTGCCGCGATTCTCTTTTGGTAATTTTCGCCACCTCAACCACTCATTGCCCATGTACAAATACACCTAGTTTTGTAAGCTCCCCAGCCTAATGACCCAGCAATCGTCGCACTTGAATTTATTTTAGTCCAAC